AAGCCGCGGGGCACGGGGGCAGCGGGCCAGCCCAGACAGGCCGTGGCTGTCCTGCTGCCCGCGGGCTCCACGGCTTTGCTCTGCTTTGCTCCCTGTCTCCCTGGTCTGCAGACCAGGGGGACGGGGAGCAAAGTGGTGGAACACGTGGGCAGCGGACAGCCGCTTTGCTCCCGCTTTGCTCCCAGGGAGACGGGGAGCAAAGCAGAGCAAAGCCAAGGAGCACACGGGCAACGGACAGCCCAGACGCGTCTGGGCTGTCCGCTGCCCGCGTGCTCCGCCGCTTTGCTTCCTCTCCCTGGTCTGCTGGAGACCAGGGAGATGGGCCCCGTTCGTAACTGCGGATCCGACGTAAGTCGGATCTGCATAACTCGGGGACTGCCTGTACAAAAGTTTTAGAAGTTGAGATAGCCAGGTCTTTAATTACATCTGATGAGATTGAAGGAGGGCACAGCTAGTTTAATTTTACCGAACGGGGTCAGCTTTCAAAAGATCGTGAGAGGCTGCCTTAGAGGTTAGAACCTCACTTTTCAAAAGTGGCTTCTGATTTTGGAGAGCTTAATTTTTGAGTACTCATTTTGAGACACTTAGAGCATTTTTTTTGAGAGGACAGGTACCTAGTACATCAGGAGTAGGACCAGTACCTAGTACATCGGGGTGGGCAAATTCCAGTCCACGGGGTTTGTCCTTGGCAGTCCCCCATGGTTGTATTCACCTGCGCTTTTGCAGTTATTGGACAATCACAGCTCTTGTTGGCTGCAGAGCACTGTTCACAGCCAATGCGAGCTGCGGGAAGTGGCGTCCCTGTTTGTGCTGCTTCCCGCTGCTCACGTAGGCCGCAGACGGCAATCCACGACCAATAAGAACTGTGATCATCCGATACCTGCAAGAGTGCAGGTAAATATAGCAGCAGTGGCTTACCAGGGTTAGTCACTGGTGGACTGCCGCTCTTTTATTGCCCACCCCTGTGGTACGTTCTGAAAAACCAACTCTCTCCAACATTCTTTGGGTTGAGCATCCAAAATCCCTAGTTGCTTTTTAAAATGTAGATTTGTTGTGTCTCTTTTTTTGGCTTATTTATAGAAAAATGCCTGTTTTAAGCAAGAAATTTCAAAATTTGTTAGTTCCGATGTTTGGAATCTTTTTCAAATACTGAAAAATAGACCATTTTAGCTGCCTTTTTATTTAACTTTTTCATTCTGTACAGTGGCATGTATAACTAAATCTGAAATTCATTGTCTGGAACTAACAATTGAAATATTGTTTCTCATTAGAAATCTGTCAGCGAGGGAGGCAGTAAAAAGTCAAGTTCTGGAAACTCAGGGAAAGGAGGAAACCAGCTGCGGTGTCCCAAGTGTGGTGACCTGTGCACACATGTAGAAACTTTTGTGTGTAAGTATTCTGATTTATATGGATGATTGTTTAAATAATTGCTAAATTAAATTTTAACCAATCTGTTCAGATAACTAAATTTTATTCTGAATACTGATCATTTAAATAGTTACGTTGTGCTTATAAATATCCTGCTATGATGATGATATTTCAGAATAATGTAACTGATGTAAATCAGGAGTAACTGCATGAGTATAATCAGGAGCAGAATTCAGTTGATAGTATACAGAGCAATATTGTGAACAATGTAAGCTTATCTTAGTGGAAGAGGAAGGATGTTAAATGGCGTTTAATCAGCTAATTTCCATCGACTACTTGATTAGTCAATAAGGGGAGAAACTACTGAGCTGCCAGGGACAAACCCCAGGAGCTAACCCCGCTGCAGCTCTGCCTCTTAAGTGTAGTAAGAGCCAACCAGGACAGCTGAGTCCCAGCTCTCACCCGGACCCCTGCTGCGCTTCTGCCTCCCCTAGCTGTCCTTCCCCTTCTTCCCCCCCGGCGGAGGTGGTGCTAGGGGGAACCGACTTTTAAGCCAGCTCCCTCCCAGCACCAGCTCCTATTCCCCCTCCCCCTCCCCTGAGAGGGGGAGGGGAAAAATGACTAATTGAGTAGCAACTCGACTATCCGATAAGCCTAGGCTAACTGGGTAGTTGACTACTCGACTAGTTGCTTATATCCCTATGGAAGAGGCGTTCATGTAGACAGTAGTACTTTGGCTTCTGACTTATTTTCTAATGAGCATGTGTGTGCTTTCTGATTTTTTTGCTTTTTTACCCTTTTTCTTAAGCAATAGGAAGAGCAAGATGAATTGTTGATTCGCTAAGAGAATCACCACTTTTTAGAATATATTAGTAGTAGTATGTTTTTTGGACTTTGTAGGGCAGAATAAGACCCATAATATAGTCAAAAGACTAATTAAGTTCCCAATGAATGGGGAGCGGGGAAGGACATCTTTTAACATCAAATGCCAGACAACCACTGATGATCAACCTTATTTTTGAAGTGTAGCCTTAGTTTTCCTGGCCACTTAGTATTCTGTACAGCAAGACTTTTAATACATGAATTTTAAAATATTTAGAATTCATTTTCTTTAAACAGTAGATTAAAGGGGTTGTTGCATACCAGAGAGATTGTATGGTGGAGCACTGAGGTGAGGAATAGAACTATCATTCTAAAGTAGTGATATTGAAAGCACTTCGGAAAGTTAAGATGAGGCAGTGGTCCAAAACAGCATGAATTCCATGCTGTAGTAGGGTCTACTAGTGTGAAGCACAATCTCTTGTTTACCCAGGAAATAATAGCAATCTCTAAAAATTGGGTTCTCAGAGCACAAATATTAATCAGCTGCTTTTGATGAGAATTAAGGATGAAGTCTCAAGAATAGCCTTGCCTGTGCTGTTAGGGGGTTAAAAACAAGGCTTATTTTATAGTCCCTATAAAGAATGCAAGGTAGGTATAATATCACAGATGCTTAAACTAACAAGCAGATTTCTGATGCTTTGTTCTGAACAAGCTGCAAATAGAGAAACTTTGATAGGAAGGTATTGCAGTAATCCAATCTTATTGTTCCAAGGACATGTCTTGCTGTTGCCAGAGAGTTCCAAGGTAGATCAAGGATCAGCATGAAAAAAAGAGACTGTTTTTTTTTTTTCAGAAGTGTCAAGCTCTTACAGTCTCTGCTGATTTCCATTAAAAAGTACATGCTAAGAATTTCTGCAAATCCAGCCTTAATTGCACAGCTGACATAAACATTTGCTAACCTGTACACCACATTGGGTTTTCTATAAAAAAAAAAAGTGTAGTTGAAAGTGAGGAAAAGATTAACTTGACTCACCCTTTTTGAGACCTAGACCTAGAGATGTTCTTGACCTGTAAACAAGAACATCAGGGAACTGACACAGTTTCAAAATGACTCTATCTATGTTATCACCAAGACCGGGATTGATGATGAGTTTGTTTACATGCATCCAGTTGTAAATAGAATCTAAGAGCTGCATCAGAGCAGACCTCAAACTTGTGGGGTCCTTGGGCAACAGAGATGCACTTAGATATCCATAAGTGTCACAAAGATAATTTAACCTGTGACCTTGCCCATATGCTCAGACACTTATGGCATGGGAAATAAGCTTGGCTAACAAGTATAATTTCAATTTAAAAAGAAGGCCAGAACCAGACTGAAACTGCACTAGGATGTCATGGGGCACGAAGACTAAAAGCTCAATTACCTTTCTTTAGAAGGAGTGAGGCTGATAGAAGTTTGAGATCACTCAAATACCAAGATACAGTGAGAGGATGGCCTTTTTTGGGAAGTTGATTTATCCTAATTTCTCATCTCCTGACGAAGCTGGGCTTTAAAGCGTCTTTTTTAAAGTCCATTTATTTGTTGCAATGTTACATTGTATAACCTCTAATATCATTAACTCACAGACACTTACTTACCTTCCTTCCTCCCCCCCCCCCATCTCCCTTCTGTTCTGAAATGTGATTTGTCCTTTTCATATGTGTTCATTTTTTTTTAATTGTATCCTTTGATATATATGGTTGTGACTATTTTCTTCCACTATTTGATCTGAGGAAGTGGGTCTGGCCCACGAAAGCTCATCCTCTAATAAACCATCTTGTTAGTCTTTAAAGTGCTACATAGTCCTGCATTTTTCTTTGTTTAGGGCTGGTTAGAGGGGTATAATGGAGGGAGAGCTGTCATTGGATTCCTAGTAATTATGATCTTTAGGAAAATCAGTTGTAGCTGCTATAATTGTTCAGATATTCCTTTAAGGCTTACATCATATTTTTTTCGTGAATCCATTGGACTTCTTACACCTTTCTTCAGTTCTTTTTCAAGCTGTTACTTTTCACTTTTTTTGTTACGAGTTCACTTTTCCTTTAATTAAATCTGTTCTTTTGTTTAATGACTCTTATTTTCTTTTCTGGGTTTATTTGCACTGTAGAATGCAGAATAGCTGTGGGGAAGCAAGCTGTATTCTAATCCTCCTTACATTATCAGAATCCCCATCCAAATTCCATTCCCAGAACACTTAATGGTTGGTTGTATTCTGTGAAACAAGCTGTAACTCAGTTTTTAACTAAACCCGTAATTCCACCAGTTTAAAAAGACAAAATAAACTTGTTTTTGACTTGTAAATTTTCAGGGCTCTAATTACATATTTACAGACTAAAGAAAACACAGTTATTTAGTTTGTGCCCCACACTTTAAACATCAGATTCACTCTGTACTCATCTTGAAATGATTAACACAGTGCTGAAATAGAATTGTCAGAGTGCTTCTTTATTCATGAATCAAGTTGCAAAGAGTCACTGAGCTTGACATTCCAGTGCAGCTTGTTTGTAATTTGTTTGTTCATCAAATATTGCTATAAACCTTGCACAAGGGTTTTGTGATTCTCTGCTATTCCAACACACTCATTATCTTTCCTGGGATCTTTGAAGGTATTAAAGGGATCTTGGTGGTTCTGACTCATTTGCTCAGCACTCCTGGTACTTGGCCTTAGGTTTCAGGCTGTGTAGAGGGGAATCCTATGGACATTGCCTACCTCAGTGACATAAGATTCATGCTTGAGATGTGACGTCAAAACCACCTGTACCTTTTAAGCCTGAGTATTGCTGACTAAAGTACTCTTCAGCTGGTGTTCTTTTTGTCATCGCCTCATTCTGCCAGGATGAACTCTCTGACCTGAGCCTGCTCCAAAGCAGGGTTTTCCTGTCATATTTTAAACCTGTTAGGAAATGAGTGGCTTAGCTGCCCTTTTTTCCTGGACACCTGGCTCTTGAGAGCAATTGCAACATAGTATCTATTTCTACCACATATTCAAACTTTAAAAAAAATACAATTGCATTGAGTTTTTGTACATATAGTGTGGATAGTGCTCTGCTATGGAATGACATGGCCTGCACCAGTTGGCATATACTTTGTATAGTGCCTTCAGCATGCCACGGGAGCTAAGTCAGCTGCTACGCTTCACTTCCTTTTCACTATCTGTTGTTGTGTCATGAATAGGGTACTACCAAATTCACAGTCCATTTTGATCAATTTCAGTGTCATAGGATTTTTAAAATAAGTAAATTTAATGAGTTCAGATATTTAAATCTGAAATTTCAGTGTTGTAATTGTTGGGGTCCTAACCCAGAAAGGAGATGTGGAGAGGTCTCAAGGTTATTGTAGGAGGGGTTTGCTGGTGGTAGCAGTGCTGTCTTCAGAGACGGGAGATGAGAGAATGGCAACTGCTGCGTGGGAACCCTGCTCTGAAGGTAGAACCGCTGCCAACAGCAGTGCAGAAATAAGGGTGGCATGGTATGGTATTGACACCTAAACTTCTGCACTGCTGCCTTCAGAGCTGGAGCTTCAGTCAGCAGCTACCGCATTCTGGCTGTCCATCTTTGAAGGTAGCAGTAAAGAAGGGTGTCATGGTATGGTTTGAAGCAAAATGCAGGACTATGTAGCACTTTAAAGACTAACAAGATGGTTTATTAGATGATGAGCTTTCATGGGCCAGACCCACTTTTGTATCCTTTTTTAAAATTGTATCCTTTGGTATATATGGTTGTGACTCAGATCAAAGGAAGTGGGTCTGGCCCACGAAAACTCATCACCTAATAAACCATCTTGCTAGTCTTTAAAGTGCTACATAGTCCTGCATTTTGCTTCAGCTACACCAGACTAACACGGCTACATTTCTATTACTACGGTATGGTTTTGCCACCCTTACTTCTATGCTGCCAGTGGTGAGGCACTGCCTTCAGAACTGGATGCCTGGAGAGCAACGACTGTTGGCCAGCCACCCAACTCTGAAGTCAGCACAGAAGTAAGCGTGGCAATACCGTGACACCCCCTCCCCTCCTTAAAATAAGCTTGTGAGCTTCTCCCCCACCCGCTGACAACTCTGTTTTGGGTCAGGACCCCCAATTTGAGAAACACTAGTTGCCCCTGTGAAATCTGTATAGATAAAAGCACACACAAGACCAGATTTCAGTCTGTGATGTGACCTGTTTTTCAATGCAGAGAAGTTGGAATGGCCCTAATCATAAAACATTTGCAGACCTCATCATGCTAATGAAGTTAATTTGAAATTGGAATTATTTCAGAGAGGTGTGAGTACTTAATATAATATAATATTATTGGCTCCAAAGATCTGCAGAGCTTCTTATACCTCTGTCCTGGGGAAACTTCTAAATGTTTCACCATCTGTGAAGCTGGGGATGTAAAATGCTCTGCCAGTTTCCATTGGCACTATAGTTCTAGAGAAGAAAATAAAAAGATTTGAAGTATATGTTTACAAAGGTGGTGACGCATCACCACCGTGTTCTTTAGCAAAAAGAAAACCTCTCACGGGTTCCTACTGATTCTGGTGCCTTCCTCTTTGAAAATAAGTATTGCTGTTGACATTAAGTGATCTTATTTTCCACTGTCACAGCAGTGAGAGGGAGCATGAACTAGTGTTCAGAGCACAAAACTCTTAGAAGATCTTGGTGCTAATCCTAGGTCTGTCAGTAACTTGCTCTGACCTCAGAATAAATCACCATGATGCTGTATTTTCCCCTTTGCAACATGGGGGGAAATAGTTACTTCAGAGCGTTGTTCGGAGTCTTAATATTTGTAAAGAACTTTGAGATCTTCCAGTGAAAGCTGCTGTAAAATTGCAAAATATTATAATGCCTCACCATTTATTTTCCCTTTTTCTTCTGTGTTTAAGAGAGTCATCATACTTGTGTTTGCTCTCTGGTACAAGTGTTATGTGCTTGCACCATGTGAAGGAGAAGAATGCTCCCATGGTACTAGTGGTTAGGATGTTCTATGCTTGTGCAAGTGCACACACTTGTCCTTTGATATTGTCAATCAGTAGTACTATCTTGGGAGGGTTGCTTGCAAGTGAGTTACCTTTGCACTTCTCCCTAAGCTATGATCTCCCCAAGCTATCAGCAGTTTATGCTGTTACTACTGGAGTGTGCCATCTCCTCTATCCACTTGAAGGGACAGGGTTAAAAGGAAAGAGGATTCTCACAGTGCTACCAGATTTTTACTTTATGAAAATCTAATTTTATTTGTGCAGCCCCAGAATTTTGGAATGTATGCATCTTATCTGTTGGATGAATTTCTCCTGACATCTGCTCTATGGGAGGCATGAGCGTGATGTAAAAATATTTTGGTTCTTGTCATAAGTCAGCAGTAAAATTATACGGCATTTGGCTGCATAAGCTATTTTCTGGAGCCTTTTTTTTAAAAGTTCAGAGGATTGTTGTAGAATTCTTCACATGGTCATTTTAATAGAGTAGTTATTGGTTGAAGCAGGTCATGCTGCCCCAATTTGGCACATTTAACAGAGGGTATTCAAGTGTGGGAGCAGGAATTGAACACTTGTGGGGTTATGATTTTGTTCTTTGAAATCATGTAGAACAGATGCCATTTTCTTTGCTTTTCTGAAACAGTGACTCCAGTTCCAATCCACAAGTTATAATAAAGTATTTCAGAATTTAATTCTTTTGTCTTCCTGTGAAGTCTGAGTTGCTGCTGTTCCAAAAATCAATTTCCAAAAGCAACAAAATGTTTTAAAGAAAATCTATTATTTATTTTTGAGGATTTGTACTATGACATCTCAAAAATTAACTAATAGTATTCTAGATTTTTTTTAAATAACCAAAATGTTGACAATCAGAGGAGTAGCCGTGTTAGTCTGAATCTGCATAAACAATGAGAAGTCCTGTGGCACCGTATAGATTAACGACCAAATTGTTGCTTACTAAACAGAGAAAGTCATATTATACTTGGCATTTTTTTCTGTTTTTGCCTTCTCTTTTAAGTGTGAATGCTTGTATATTCTAAAAATGTTAATTGAGAAATTGTTACTGCTGATTTAGTATATTTGGATTGAAGTATATTGTCAGACTAAATTAAATTAAACTGAAATATCAGTTAGATATAAATTGTTAAACATTTATTAGAAATTGACCGTTAATGGAGTTTTGTATAGTCTGTTATTTTATGGGATATTGCCAGATCCCAAAATCCACCTTTTACAGAAGCTAGATTAATTCCACGCAAGGGGGCATACATGAAGAGGGCAGTACAGTGAAACCTTTGTTATCCGGCACTCTGTTAATGAGAAAACTTAGCCATTGCCCCCTGTCACAATACTGTCACATCTTCAGGTGCACAGGCCTGACTTGGTTTACCATGATTGACTTAACAATTTTTTATTTAAGAAGTACTAATCATATTTAACTCAAAATATGTGAGACCAACTGCCTCACTACAAAACCACCAATATTAAAAACTTGAGTTTTACTATTATTGTCCATTGGTTTTTCCCAGGTACCCTCAGATAACCAGAATTTTTAGATAACTGGCATGCCCTAATCCCCAAGTGTGCTGGATAGCACAGGTTTTACTGTACTATTTTTTCATCTTATAGGCTATGGCAGTAATTGCTGCCTCGGTCTGTGAATTTGGATTCAGTAGTTAGTAGGCTGTTCAGATCCAAATTATGTGCCTTCCCCGTGCATACTGGATTATAGAGCTCCCTGTGTATTTTATGCTCCCTCCACAGGGCTCAAATGTCATGAAAGGTATTGCCACAGTTGGGTGAATTTCATCCTTAGAATACAGTTGTTACTGAGAAGAGCACCAAGCTGGAAATATACACATGCCTTCTTTTCCCAGGTCTGTCAATGTCCTGTCTGATTTTGGTCAAGTTGTGTTGCCTCATTGTATGAATTTCACAAACAGTTAAATATATTGTAAAGGTTTTGAGATGAACAGATGAAAAGTGCTATGTAAATGTAGAGTACTTACTCATTTTTGTCTCTTGATCTTTTCCCAATTAAATATACCTTGGAGGCAGAGAAGGGAGTTGACTGACAGAATGTTTGTTATTACAGGTGTTTAAGTTCTGGGTATCATGATAGTAGAAAGTTGAATGAATGTTGTCTAAACAGTCTCTTGTCACTTTATTTTACTTTTTTCCCAGCTTCCACCCGCTTTGTGAAGTGTGAAAAATGTCACCATTTTTTTGTTGTGCTGTCAGAGGCAGACTCAAAGAAGAGCATTATTAAAGAGCCCGAATCAGCAGCAGAAGCTGTAAAATTGGCATTCCAACAAAAGCCTCCTCCTCCGCCAAAAAAAGTATGGCTCTTAATTTCACCCTAGTTTACTTATCTGCATTATAGCATAGTTGAATGTTGTAATTGTAAAAATCAGTATCAAAGTTTAAAGTTCATTTGGGACATAAGTCCAAGAAATGATAAAAATTAATTTGCCAAGATTTAAACGTTTAATATTTGTATTCTACAGGACATAGTGAAGTATTATTGAAGGGAAATTTGTTATAGTTTTATAATCTTTTGTTGTATTTACATATTGGATATTTAATAACTTTTTTTGTTCCTATCACCGACTATGAAACAAAATTTAAAAACAAATCTCTTTAGATCAATTAGGCCAATTGTACACTGGTAAGATACTGCACAGTAAATCAACCCCAGTCACTGTAACTTTCTAGGTGTTCACATTGGCAAGGCACTTAGTGTGCACTAGCTCTGGAAGTGTGGAGGTTGCTGTGCTCTTGATACAGTGCTGGGGTGCCAGTGTGAACATCATGGTTTAGTACTGCATCGTGACTGGCTTCCGGCACCTTTCCCACAATGCCTGTTCTTGCCTCTTTGGTCATTTGTTTGAACTCTACTGCCCTGCTTTCAGGACCAGAGAGCCCTCAGACCTGCCCTTTGCTTTTTTTAAAAAAAATTTTGAAAGTCCTCTTCCTGTTTGGTGACGCGTCTTGTGTTCTTAGCGCATCTTTCCAGCTGGCCATGCCTGCTCCACGCATTAGGAGGTACCCTGCTTGGAGCCATGCTGAGGTGCTGGACCTCATCAGCATTTGGGGAGAGGAGGCTGTCCAGTCCCAGCTTCGCTTCAGCTGTGAGAATTATGATAGCCACGGGCACATCTCAAGATGCATGACTGAAAGGGGCCATGACTGGGATGCAGTGCAGGGTGAAAGCAAAGGAGCTGTGAAACGCCTGCCACAAGGTGCGGGAAGCAAACTGCCACTCTGGTGCTGCACCCACAACCAGTAGGTTCTACAAAGAGCTGGATGATCAACTTGGAGGTGACCCCCCCACCTCCACTCTGAAGACCCTCGTGGATACTTCGAGAGCTCAGGGGCCATCCAAAAGTGGACCAAGATGGGAGGAGGAAGCTGTGGCTGACTGTGCTGAGAGGAAAGGGGACCTAAGGCCAGAGAAGGAATCTGCATTGAGAGAGGCTTGCAGTCAGGAGCTGTTTTGTCCCCTCGAGGATGCGAGCCACTTGCAGCCTTGGAGGCTGTGGGTGATGTCTGGTAAATGGCTTGGGTCTCAGGAAGCACTCAAGCGGGTTGCCAGGAACAGAAGAGTTACAGAAAGGAGGTTTTTTGGTTTTGTGTGTTGGTGCTACCAGCACAGGGGCAGTCAGATAGAGAACAGACCGTTGATGCAATCTCTTACTTCATGGTAAGCTGCCTCACAGATCTCATTGGAAGTGTCAGGCAGTGGCTGTGCCACCTGTTTCCTCAAATTTGCTGGCAAAGCAAATGTGGTCTTTGAGCCCTGAAGGCTGACATTCCCTCAACACTGGGCGTCAGCGGCGGGAGAGAAGGACCACCCGTTGTTGCGCAGACAAGCCACGTGGAACCCGCAGTCAAGTAAGACCCTCCTTTGCTTAAGGAGAGCATGGAGCAGCTCCTAAGTATTATGAAGTGGCAAGTGGTCACACTGGAGGTGCTGTTAGCATTGCAGATGGAACAGTTGCACGACAGGCTCCCCCTACAACCAGTGTCCCAAAACGGTTTTTCGTATACTCCTACCCAATGCAATTTGGGCACCACCCTGTCTGCCAGCCACTGCATTCCACATCTGCCCACCCATCCCCTACCATGCAGACTCCCACAGGCTCCTGATGCACTCAACATGCATCTGCATGCAGTGTAGCTCTGAAATGCAGCCTCCCTCTGCACAGCACATCAGGTGGCAGGGCTGCATATGAAACTTAGATAAATACAAACCTGTGAACCTCTTGGGGCATGCCTCACCTCTTGCCTCTTCCATCCCCTCCCTCCCAAGCAGTTCAGATGTTTCATGCTTCACGTGTGTCCTATGTTTACTGTGTTTAATAAATTAAATAAATGTGTTTCAAAGCAATCTTTACTCCGTTACATGAAAGCAAGCAAGCATACCCCAGCAAAGCAATGGTCACTGCAGCTCTAAGTGCAGTCCACAGACCAATCAGAGTAACCGCCTAGCAATGCAGCCATTGCACTCCCATGCATGGCAACAAGTTCAAGGCATCCCTGATCCTTAAGGCACTGTTCTGTGTTCCTCTTAATAGCTCTGGTCTCAGGCTGTTCAAACTTTCATCCTTCCTATTGCAACGATAATCGTAGGGATGTTTGTCATCGACTAGGTTCAGCTTCCTGTATAAACAATGCCAACAGACTTTCAAACAGCCAAAAGTACACTCCACATTTGTTCTGCATCTGCTCTGCCTGTTATTGAACTGCTCCTTGCTGCTGTCAGAACTCCCATGTATGGTTTCATTGGGCATGGCATTAAGGGGTAGTCAGGGTCTCAGTGGGCATTTTCACTTCCCCCACAGCGATCTTCTGGTCTACAAAGATCCTTGCTGCATCCTAAACAGGCCAATGTGAGCATCATGCTCCTTCCAGACCAGCTGGCATTAATGTCCATGAAGTGCCCACAATGATCCACAAACACTTGCAGAATCATGGAGGAATACCCCTTATGGTAAATGTACTCAGAGGGTAGGTGGCCTGGTGCCAGAGTTGGAATGTGAGTGCCATCTATCATCCCACTGCAGTTTGGGAAGCCCATCCGAGCAAAGCCATCCACAATTTCAGGCACATTGCTCAGAATCACAGTCTTTTGGGGCAGGATGTGGTTGATGGCCCTGCATACTTCCATCAGCACAAGTCCAGCGGTCGACTTTCCCACTCCAAACTGATTGGTGACCAAGAAAAAAGTTGACTGAAGTAGCCAGTTCCCATAGTGTGATCACCACGTGCGTCTCCACTGGCATGGCAGCTCTCTCATTAGTGTATCCTTGCACCACAGGGTGGGGATGAGCTCAGAGCACAGTCCCATCCAAAAGTTCTGCAGCCATTGCTCATTCCAGGCTTGCATGATGATGTGATCCCACCACTCAGTGCTTGTTTCCCAAGCCCAAAAGCAGCGTGCCACTGTTGTCAGCACCTCCGTGAACACCACAGGAAATCTCATGCCATACGTCTGATGCATGGACTCTTCATCATCACTTTGCAGCTCCAGGAATAACTCACGTGCCTTTCGTGATGTGTTATGAGAACTTTCGGTGTTTTTCATCAACATCTATGGATCCATTCCCACAGACCAAGGAGGCAGGGTGCACAGCACTGAAGCCATTGAAAGATGGCGCAAAATGCAGACAGATGCGCAGGGATTTGTGAAGCGATGCACTAGGGGCCATTGGGACAGGACCCAGAATGCTCCATGCCTCCCCTCCGCCTTTCCACTAACCTCTGCAACAGAAGAGGAAGAGGTGCTCTGTGGGATAGCTGCCCAGAATGCACTGCTCCCTAAGGTTCTGCCAGCGCCACAATTGTGGTCGTGCTGCTGGGTTGGTGGCTGACAGTGTGGACACCCAATAGCATTTTCCCTGCTGCTCTGTGAGTGGCGTTGTAACTGCCAGCGTAGACATGGCCTTCGCATAGGCCTCCAATTATGGACCATGCACATTGTGATCCAGAGCCTTGGATTTCAACTCTTTTTATCTATTATATTTTCAAAATTTGCTCTTTTAAACTGTTTGGTTCAGTTTTAGATATCTGTAGTCTGTGTTATAGGATGCAACAGGCACAAAATTAACACTTTTATGGTGCATGGGTGGCTTAGAAATGTAATTGTTGTTTTTATTAAGTTTAATTTTATTTTTCAGATATACAACTACCTCGACAAGTATGTTGTTGGTCAATCTTTTGCCAAGAAGGTGCTGTCAGTTGCTGTGTACAATCATTACAAAAGAATATACAACAATATCCCGGCTAATTTGAGACAGCAAGCTGAAGTTGAAAAGCAAACGTCTTTAACACCTAGAGGTTTGTACAGTGTTTCATATTTTTTCAATTATAAAGTGTATTATCTCTGTGGACTTTACTTGTGCTGCTTCAATATTGTTATACAGGTAGTCCCCGGGTTATGTGGATCCGTCTTACGTCAGATCCCTACTTACGAACGGGGTGAGGGAACCCCGCATTAGCTGCGCCCCCCCCCCCCCCCCGCGCGCCCCCCG